AATAATTATCAGTTTCTTTATTCCAAAATAGTTAGAGGCAAATAGGTAGGGCTTTTTTTTTCTTAATCCATTAATTTTTCATTGGGTTCTGAAAAGCTGTAGGATAAGATTCTGTAAAAGAGAATTTATAACATGCTTTTGGTAAAATTCCATTTTCTCCAATATTTTGTCTCTAGACCAACAAAAAGAGCAATGATAATATCTTTTCAGAGGCAAAATTGGTGTGGATTTTTTTCCTCTTAGCAGAACTTTAGACTCTGAAGAAGTATTTTGGTATGCTTATTTAAAGAACAGCTCGATTTACTGCCAAATAGCTCTTCATGAAAGACATATGTAAATACAGCAGAGTAAATGAGATAATTCTATTGCATTTGAAAAACACTTTCTTAATTATGTGAACTTGTTTGAGAGAATATGAAAATGCTCTCTATTTAGTTCTGTAAGAAGTTTGGCTGTGATATTTATGATGTAATCATAGCCAGGAGTTGAAATTATATTAATATTGAATGCAAAACTATTTTCTTTTCTCTCTTCTTGTATTTTTAATAACAAAAAATGCTAATTAAAAAATTGATTGCAAAAAATATCCTCTCTGGCACTAAGAACTGCCTTTAGCTTCATTGTATTTGTAATGTGTCAGAATTTACATTTGCAATGTTCTAGAAGCCAGACTATTATATATAACAAAATCGAATTAAATATACTCTTTTATCAAAGGTGGCATTAAGATGTACAAAAATGCTAGTCTTCTGTATATCATAAGGTACTCCACCAAAATTTTTTGTCCCAATTTGCAGTTTCCAACAAATATCTAAGATTTTGTTTTTTGTCATTCCAGATATGAAACCAGCATATGGAAGCAATTTCATATCAGCTATCTAGTTCAAATCTTAAGATCATATGAAATAATTGAAAGATGATATTATCTGTCTTTTACAAACAGGGAACTGAGGAACCATATGACTAAGTGCTGTGCCTCAAATCCTGCTGTTAATGAGTAAAATCCTTTCAAGGATATTAATTTCCTGTCTTCCAATGCTAAGCTCTTCTCTCTCCACCATGCTGCCAACTCAATCCTGATTTAAATACTGATCTTTCCAGTTAATTTTTCCTCCTTCATCAGCCTTCACATCATACCCCAAGAGTTTTAGTCGACAGTACATGCTTACTTAAAAAGTTAGCTTATTTTATCTTTGGAAATATTTTGTTGTCATTGTTCCATCAAAATGATCATAAATAACCTGTGCAGAATATTGTCTACATGAACTTACTAATAAAATCCCAAAATTGAACTCATTGTTATCTCTCCAAACCCCAGCCCTAACAAACCAGTTTATTTCACTGATTATCACACTCAAGTACACTTAGTAGTAACCAAATGTGAAAGAATCATCCTAGATTCTTCTTTTTCCCCCACCTTCTATTCCAATCACAACCACTGTTTCATTATCCCTGCTAGCTAGTTCTGGAACCAATATGCCCCTCCACATGACAGGTCTGATTTTAGTAACTCAGGCTGTTTTCTATTTTCACCTAGACCCTTGCAATGACTTCTTATGTGGTCTCCCTACTGGGTATCTCTTCTTGCTCCAATCCCATTATTGCTGGACATCTTTCTGTCCCACCATCTCAGACACCTACCCTAAAGATTTGAATGCCTCCATCAGGATCAAGTTAAACTCCACAGTCCAGTATATACAGTGATGAATCTCCCGACCTTCTCAGTCTCATCTTCTGCCATCCTTCTACAGATACCCTTCCGAATGCAGTCCAGTTGTACGATCTGGGCCCAGAATGGACTCTCCCATCTGTTGATTTATATGCATGTTCTCTCTCTGGAGAATACTGTCCTCACCCTCACATTATAGAAAGAGATGCAAAGTTGAGCCAGTAATTCCAAATAGCACAGCAGGATAATAGTTTTGAACATTAAACCTGCCACTCATCAAATTTCTTCACTACTACCCGAGAGAACCCCACTTCTGTTCACCTCCCTCTCAAACGAGTTCCTGCCTGCTTTTCCTCTGTTAAGGAACAAGTTTCAGGAATGTGAACAATTGTCTGACTTAGAGGCAAGAGGTGGTGGTGCAATGAATAAGTCACTACAGAAGAAGTAATTCATCCGAGTATTAGCTTAAATTCTAACAAGAAACATCTAAACACAACCTACTATGTGATTTAATGTTCATTAATTAATGCTTGAATTAATCTTTTCATTTAAGAGTGAGTAAATATATACTAATAATAATTATAGGGGACCCCAGGGATTCTACACAAGACAAAATGGAAAAAATACACTTGAGGAGCAGAAAACTTGCAGTTCTAAGGAAGCATGTTATCAGAACTTCATATTATCAGAAGTCTCCTGAAGGCAGACACTCTATTAAGTTTGAGAAGCAAATGCAGCATTATGTCATCAAATAAAACTGACTGTGACTCAAATGCAGACAGAGGAGATTACAGGCATAGACTTGGGTTGTATGAGTAAGCAAGTGATGTGAGGAAATTCGTACTTTAATAAAGGAATTAAAGTTAGTACAGAGTATGATGACGACTACAGAAAAATAAAAAGCACAATGAGATACATAAACTTGAAAACATAATACAGAATCCAGCCAATCCAAGTGAAAATTCCTAGAGAAAAATAAAACATTAAAATACAAGAAAAAAAATCAAAGATATAATTGTAGAAAACCTTCCAAAATGAGGTGCAAGAACACAGAGTATTTGGCACTGCTGTCGCTCTCCATGCTGCAGGAAATTTTAGTGAAAAGATGCCAATTATCTCTTGTTTTTAAATGACAAAGATGAAGAACAGGTATATAGGCATAAAAAATATGTTCAAAAATTCAAAAGTCTCAGATGTATGCTCAAGAACACAAAATGTCAAAACTAATGGAGAAATTAATAATTGTATATGTACTAAAACAGACATTTGGAATGTATATAACATTCCTCTCCTTGGACTATACCCAAAGGACATAAAAACAGCATACTACAGGGACACAGCCACATCAATGTTTATAGTAGCACAATTCACAATAGCTAAACTGTGGAGCCAACCTAGATGCCCTTCAATGGATTAAAAAAATGTGGCACATATACACAATGGAATTTTACTCAGCATTAAAAAAGAACAAAACCATGGCATTTACAGGTAAATGGATGGCAATTGGAGAACATAATGCTAAGTGAAGTTAGCCAATCCTAAAAAAACAAATACTGAATGTTTTCTCTGATATAAGGAGGTTGACTCATAGTGGGACTGGGAGGGAGAGCATGGGAGGATTAGATGAACTCTAGATAGGGCAGAGGGGTGGGAGGGAAAGGGAGAGGACAGGGGATTAGCAAGGATGGTGGAATGTGATGGACATCACTATACAAAGTACATGTATGAAGACTTGAATCGGGTGTCAACATACTTTATATACAAACAGAGATACAAAAATTGTGGTGTATATGTGTAATAAGAATTATAATGCAAAAATAATAGTGTTCATTACCTTAGATTAGGTAGAAGGAAGTGAAAGGAGGTGAAGACCGGGGATGTGGGGATAAGAAAGATAGTAGAATGAAACAGACATTATTACTCTATGTATGTATGTGGCTGTATGACCAATGTGATTCTACAATATGTATACTCAGAAAAATAGAAATTATATCCCATCTATGTATGATATATCAAAGTATATAAAGGCATTCTACTGTCATATATAGCTAATTAAAACAAATAAAAAATTTTTTAAAAGATGATAATCTAAGATATACAATAGGTCAATAAGATATACTGAAACACACTCCTTCAGGAAAATAAATGATACATTACAGCCATTGGAATAATGGGCCAAGATTAAGAATTATATGAAAAATGACAAGTACAGATAATTTTTTAAGAAAAACAAATTTGTATCTTCCCAAAGCCTATACCCAGCTAAGATATGAACTTATATACTAGCAAAAGAATTATATGTATATATATATATATATATATATGTGTGTGTGTGTGTGTGTGTGTGTATGTGTGTGTGTTTATGCTCACTCATATCTGTGTAGGAGCTAGTAAAGGACATTACTGATGGATTAAAAAAATAGAATAAAATATTTTTCCAAGTCTTATTTGAGTTCATGAAGAAAGGAATGTAAGACCTCTAGAATATACATTATTATATCTGTTGGACCAAGATAATGCCCTGAAATCAGTTAAACAGAGTTATAACTAGATAACTATTGCTAATATGAATATGAATATCATTGTCATAATTAATTATTTAAAATAGGAATTCAGTGCTAATTTAAAACAACTTTATAGTGATATCATAGGAATAAAACTCTAGATTAAATAGTTTTGACAAATTGAGACATTTTAGAAAATAATATTATTAAAAATTAATATATTCTCTCTAACCAAATATCAAAGCCAAATTAAAAACCGAATACAATATATTAAATGTTTTAAAAATCTGTAGTAATCAAAACAGTATAGAGGCATAGTATTAACCCGTCTACCAACAGGCCAAATACCAGCATATATAAAAGTTCAGTCTGAGATGTAATTGTGCTTCAAATCAGTGGGAAAAGAACAAATTATCTCATAAATAGAATCATAAGAGTCCACTTATATCTGAGGGAGGGAAATTGAATTGCTATCCTCAAGCCATACCCCAGACTACATTAAAAATTAGGATATGATTTACATGAAACTAATAAATTAAAATGTTTATAAAAATTAAAAGGTATTATTTACACAGATTTAGCATAGAATATAAGCTTTGTAGGCATGCCATCAACTCATCCAGGCAAAAAGATATTAAGGAAAATATTGATATATTTATTGTGCATATGTTCAAAATATTTTTCCTATGACCACATTAAAAATGAATGAAAATATTCTAAACATAAACAACAAGTAAATGCTTTATTTTCTTAATATATAAAAAGTTCTTAGAAATAAATAAGAAGGCAAAATCACAAAAACTTTAACTTTTCAAATGACAAAAATTATTATAAGAAACAAAAATATGCAGTTCCACTACTAAATAACGAAGTATACATTTTTTAAAAAGAGAAAACAACATTTCATCTCACAAATTGGCAAAGATTACATTTATTTGTCATACCTAAGTTTAGTATAGGTGTAAAGATATAGGCTCTTTGTACACAATTAGTGGAGTTATATTTTAACTCATATTTTCTTGAGAACAAATTTGCTCCAGTCTCACAAATATTTACCCATTTAGACCCAGAAACTTTACTCAGTAGAAGTTATCATGAAGTAATCCTGGACATGTACAGGTATGTATCTATAAGTATAGCACAAAGTGATCCAGCAGTGGCCCAAAGATGTTCCTCAGACTTGAAATACCTGTGCCCTGCAGTGATACATTCTGTTAATTGGTGCTATGACAGAATATTTGTGTACATCCAAAAATTCACTAAGTTGACGCTTAATCATCAATGTGAGGATATTTGGAGGCTGGCTTTTCGAAGGTGATTAGTTCATGAGAGGAACTCTAATAAATGGAATTAATGCCCTTATAAGAAGATACATGATCTCTCTCTCTCTCTCTCTCTCTCTCTCTCTCTCTCTCTCTCTCTCTCTGTCTTTCTCTCTGTCTGTCTCTCCATTGCCCCCATATAAGGATACATGAGAAAATGGCTGTCTACAAACCAGAAAGTATGGGTAAAATTCCTGCCACATACTGGATCGTTGGGCTCTTTCTCTTGGACACTACAGCTTCTAGAACTGAGAGAAGTAAATATTTGTTACTTAATCCACTCAGTCTTTGACATTCTGTTATATCCCAAACTAAGACAATTGGAATTTAAAATGTTTTATACCCTGAATGTTATCTATTAACCATTCAAAACTCTGCTTGCATAATTACCCTTGGAACATCTTCAGCCAGGGAAAATGTATATGAAGGACAATAGACACGAAAGTTCCAAATGACTATGCTAGGTAAACAAGAAAGAGGGTAGAGGATTTGTTGACTAAACAGGAAAATATAGTAGGGGGTGGTGAATGAAGGATGAACAGTCTGACAAATCTGGTACCATCTCCTCACATTTGCACAAGCAAGAAATTAACTATGTGGAACTGCTTCCCTTTCTGTCCTTAATGAAGAATCAAGAGCATGATTGTTTTGGTGTAGGGGGTATCTATCGCCCACCTTGGGTTAAACTATTTATCCAAATATTCCCCAAGACAAGCGACTGTGGGAGTTCCGTGTTTTGCAGAAAGTTTGAAGATTCTGTGAAGAGAACATTCATATTCTTCCACATCTGAACAACACAGACTGTCAGCTTTGAAGCATGCTTTCTCTGCAAGGTCAAGGTCTTTTCTTGAGAACAAGTTTGCTCCAGTCTCACAAAGGTCAAGATATGGCCACAGTGACAAGGAGGAGCAGGAGGGTTTGTATTTGAATGATGTATTTAATGAGTGCCCTCCATTTTAAGAGCCTGGGAGTCAAGTACACTTGTATTGCTCAACTTCATTCAAATCAGTAAGTGCTTTGACTGTAAGTGCTTTGATTCTCCCTATCCTAGGTTCAGAACTCACAGGAGTCATTCATAATTGTAGTGGATATGTCACTTTCCTGAGGATTCCTGTATTGGGGAAATTCCACATCTCATAAGACTTGATAAGAGACAGGCTGGGTTTCTTTTAGACAAATGAACTGTCTTCCCATCCTACAGACATTATTCTGGTTCATTCTATAGATATAGGCTGTGAAGAAGAGGAAATAGTAAGCACTCTGGGCAAAATGTACCTGATTAAAATTTACTTGTACCAGAAGATCAGAGATAAAACCACAAAAGTATGGTTTCACTAAATTCTGTGAAAGATATTTCTAGGGGGACTTGGTCCTTCCACACAAAGTGAATGATAAGGTTCAATAATTTGTATCCACGGTAAAAGGGCACAACCCTTGGGCCTTTTGTTGTTCTAATTAGTTATGATGATAGTAGAATGCATTTTGACACATTATACATAAATTGAGTAAAACTTCTCATTCTTCTGGTTGTACATGTTGTAAAGTTACATTGATAATGTAATCATCCATGCACATAGGTTAATAGTATTCAATTTGTTCTACTATCATTCCTACCCCCATACCCCCTCACCTTCGTTCACTCCCCTTTGTTTATTGCAAAGTACTTCTATCCCCTCCCTCTATTGTGAATTAGCATCCACATATCAGAGAAAACATGCGGCCTTTGGTTCTTTGGGATTGGCTTATTATGCCTAGCATGATAGCCTAGCCTTTGGTTCCACCGTTTTACTGGCAAATGCCATAATTTAATTCTTCTTTAAGGTTGAGTAATATTCTGTTGTGTATATATACCATAATTTCTTTATCCATTCATCTTTTGAAGGGCACCTAGATTGGTTCCATAGTTTGGCTATTGTAAATTCAGCTGCTATAAACATTAATGTGGCTGCATCACGGTAGTAGGCTGATCTTAAGTCCTTTGTGTATAAGCTAAGGAGTGGGATAACTGGGTCAAATGGTGGTTCCATTGCAAGTTTTCTGAGGAACCTCCATACTGCTTTCCAGAATGGTTGCACCAATTTGCAGTCCTACCAGCAATGTATTAGTTTACCTTTTCCCCTACATCCTAACCAACGTTTATTATTGCTTGTATTCTTGATAATTGCCATTCTGACTGGAATAAGATGGAATCTCAGTGTAGTTTTGATATACATTTCTCTAATTACTAGAGATGTTGAACATTTTTCATATATTTGTTGATTGATTACATTTATTCTGTGAAATGTCTGTTTAGTTCTTTAGCCCATTTATTGACTGTGTTATTTGTTGTTGTTTTTTCTTTTTGGTGTTAAGTTGTTTTTTGTTGTTTTTTTTTTTTTGAGTTCTGTTTATATCCTGGAGATTAATGCTCTATCCGACATGTGTGTGTAGTAAATATTTTCTCCCATTCTGTAGGCTCTCTCTTCATGCTATTGAATATAACCACTTTTGAGGATCTGTGTGAGTACTTACTGGATCTACTGAAGGATGTCAGTGTCAAGTAATGGCTCAGAGGAAAAGGCTCTTGAGGTGACCACACCATGTGGGAAGCAGCTCCATTGCTTAGTCCTGAAACACACAAATCCAACCATATTCCTATAACTAAGTTAGCAGTCAGCTCCAGCAAGAGAATCATGGCACAAACCCTTACTATTTGTGAACAAAGCTATTACTATTTTCTGAATGTTCATGCTCATTTTAAATGAACAGATCTTGGCTTGTCCCTGATACCTGTTTATAGCTAAAAATGTAACCAAGAAAACTTTATATCCTACATTTGATATATTAATCCACCTGCCTGTGAAGTCAGATGTACCCCCAAAGTGCTCCATTATCAAGTGGAGATGGACGTACAGAACTAGATGTGATTGGGTTCCGAAGACATTGCACATCACTATCCCTTCCTCTATTCATGCCTGGAGTCCCATTGAATAAGCTGCTTGATGATCAAAGGACAAAGGGGGAGGTAGAAATCTAGGATTTCAGAAATTCTTTTGCAAAACAAAGGTACTCACAAAATTTAGCCTTCCAACCATGAAACCATGTGTTTTGGTTGTCCAGAACAGGAATGGTAAAATGGAGATACAACAATGGAACCATTAATTGGTAAGCTGATAATGACATGTGGCCAATTCAGTCTCTTCACATCACTAAGAAAACAAGGGATAAAAGGAATTATGACGTTAATTTTTCAGATTGATTCTGATTGTCAAAAGGAATTATAATTACAGCTAAACAATTAGGAACATTATAAAAAAAAGTATTGATGGAACTCAAAGAATGTCCTGGGGTGTTTCCTGGTACTGACTTATTCATTGATAAAATTAATTGAGAGACTCCACCACTGATGTAGAAAAGTCAGCCACAGGCTCAGATTCCTCAGGAAAGGAGCATTGGGCCACTCCATCAAGTAAATCACCTTAAACAGATGAAATGGTGGCTAAATTAAAATAAAGATAAATGGAATGTGTGAAAGAGAAAAGCCATACACTTACCCACTTCAGCCTCATAACCAGTTACAGAAAAGAGGACAAAACCAATGTTTTCTATCCTTTTCTGTGTCTATATCTTATTTCACTTCTCCTTACCCTTTTCTCCTACAGACAGGTATAGGGCACGTGGCTGCCGAGCAACTAACTCTTCAGTTTGGCCCACAGGAAGGATCAAAATGCATTGTAAATGAACCAGAAGAAAAACAGGGTTATTAGGATGCAGTGATGAATGAGACTTTGTGTTGCTTGCTCCTTTCCAGAGAGGAGGTGAAGGCCTACTGGATACACGTGGGTTCGTTGCATTCAGCTTCGGCCAGGGTTGGAGTTACTGTATGTAGCCTGTGTCATGTGGAGGTCACTAAGCATTTAGCACTCTTTTTCACTTGTCACAGTGAGAGATGATCTATAACCTAATAAATAAATGGAAGCTGTCAAATTCTGTTTTTTTTCTTCCCCCTTGGAAGGCATGGACCTGTGACAAAGACTCTACCAGAAATACTCACCAATCTCAGATTTAGGAGACAATGTAAGAAACAGAGACTAACTCTATCACAGGGGCTGAAGCAAGAAGGGTTCTGGGATAATTATGGCAAACTGTCAGCTAAACCACTGAGGGATGGTGGTGTGGGATCCATGTTTAAGAATTCAAAGTGGGTTCATTTGCCTGATCAGACAGATTCTATGGCACCATTCTGATAGTGCCACAGTTGTTGAAATTTGACAGTGCTCTGCAGTATATCACTTTTCCATTTCTCAAAATCTATTTTTTTTGTACTAGGAACTGAACCCAGGTGCACATAACCACTGAGTCACATCCCCAGCCCCATTTTGTATTTTATTTAAGACAGTCTCACTGGGTTTCTTAGGGCCTCAATAAATTGCTGTAGCTGGCTTTGAACTCATGATCCTCCTGCCTCAGCCTCCTGGGCTGCTGGGATTACATGTGTGCACCACAGCCTCTGGCTCGGTATCTTTGTTTTATTTTTTTCAGGATTTATAAACTTTTTTGAGATAGTGTTAAACCTCGTATCCTTTCAACAAATCTCTTTCTTGTTTAAATAAGAAAAAGTTCCGTGACTTGTAACCAAGAATCTTGACAGTGAAGTTATTGATGTTTATCACAGGATTATACATTATGAAGAATAATTAAAAATTGATTTAAGTATCCAAAGGATGATATTGGGGTCCACTGAATTTCACAAACTACTAGTAATCAGGTTTGAGTGATGACACGGGATATTATATAATTAAATGTAGCATTCATGATATACTGAGAGGCAAAGCATGTCACTTGAAATAATGTTGAGTGGTGGGCCACAGGTTTGAAATTTATTCCATGTTTCGATCTTACATATCTATTATCTATCTATCCTGTATTGGTTACCTATTACTATATCACAAATTGCAACAGAATTAACAGCTCCAAATGACAAATATTTTTTCTCTCCCACTTCCTTTGAGTCAGGCGGGGATCTGGGATTAGTCTTTCGAGCTGCTTCTGGTTCACAGTCTCTTAAGAACTTCCAGTCAAGCCGGTGGCCAGGGATGCAGTCTCTGGAGAAATGAGTGAAGTCGAAGGATCCTTTTCCAAGCTCAGGAGGATTGCATAAGGCTTCATTTCTTCACCATGTGGGCCTCTCCACAGGACTATTCACAGCCTCAATCTCCCCAGAGGGAGGAGAGAGAACACTTAGATGGAAATGGCACCTTCTATGATCTAACATTAGAAGCAACATCTCACCCTTAGAACCAAATCACTAAGCCCAGCCCACCTGGGAGAGGATAATTAAGCATCACCTCTGGAGTGGAGGGGTATCCAAGGATCTGTGAGCACATCTTAAAACCCATCATCTGCACATACACATTACATATAAAATATAGAAATCCATGAAATATTTCATAATAAAATCATCCAGAAAAACAAATGGCACAAAATGAGCCCATGATTATAAATGTGTGTGTGTGTGTGTGTGTGTGTGTGTGTGTGTGTGTGTGTGGTGTGGATGCTACCCATGTCAACTCCCTTCTGACAACTTATGACAACAGAGCTGAGGCACCCAAGGTGCCCACCTCCTGGGAAGGTGAATGTCTGCGACGAGATGCTGCACAATACAATAAAACTTAAACTCTGAGAGGTGGAGGGATGAGAAGGCAAAATGTGGGTTTCAGGAAGGAACAGGGGGGTTGTTCAATGCACTCTATGGTCAGAAGGAGCTTGGTAAACTACCTGGCTTGTGCCTCCCAGTTGGGAGGACGGAAGTGGTTCTGGGTGCTCCAGGATGACGAGGGACACGGCCTGTCAGGTAGTCTCATTTCAAGACAATGCTCCAGACAGCTGCTACCAAGAGGTGAGTGGGTGGCCACAGTGAAAACAATTACTATTCCAATGTGGGGAACGTCCATAAATAGCTGGAGAGGGCAAGAATAGGAGAGAGCTGAACAGAAGGCTGGAGGCCCACAGCCAGTGAGATTTGCGAATTGATATTACTGTGACCTCATTTCTTTCTTTTTTTTTGTTTTTTAAAGAGACAGGTCTTACTATGTTGCCTAGGCTGGCCCTGCATTCCTGGGCTCAGGCAATTCTCCTGACTCAGTTTCCAGAGTCACTGGGACTATAGGCACACGCCACCACACCTACCTCTAGTGTGACCTCATTGCTACCCCAAGGCTGTCTAAGAAATTCAGATAGATACCAAAAAGTTAATTTTGGTTTTGCTAACCTGTCTCATAAATTTTCTGTAATTGCTATATAGTGTTTTATACTAATGAAAAGGCTTTTAAAAAATTTGTTCAAATATGGAGATTATGAATATGGTATATGGTGATATGAAGTATATATAAAGTTAAACATGTTTTTACTTTTTGTGTGGTGCTGGGGATTGAACTCATGGGTGTTCTAACATTAATCTGCATCCCAATCCTTTTTTAAAAATTTGTTCTTATTAGTTATACATGACAGTAGAACGCATTTTGACATATTATATATCCAAGGAGTATAATTTTCCATTCTTCTGGTGGTACATTACATTGGTTTTGTATTTCTATATGCATGTAGGAAATTAATGTCTGATTCATTCTATTAACTTTCCTATTCCCATTCTTGGTCCCTTCCCTTCATTTTCTTTTGTTTAATCAAAAGTAATTCTAGTCTTCCCTACCCTACCCAAAACTGTGACTTAGCATCTGTGTATCAGAAAAAAACATTTGACCTGTAGTTCTTTGGGATTGGCTTATTTCACTTTTCATGATATTCTCCAGCTCCATGCATTTACCAGCAAATGCCATAATTTTATTTCTCTTTATGGCCGAAGACTATTCCTTTGTGTACCACATTTTCTTTATCCATTCATCTGTTGAAGGGCATCTAGGTTGGTTCCATAGCTTAGTTATTGTGAATTGAGCTGCTGTAAACTTTGATGTAGTACCCTGATTTTTAGTGCTTTAGATCTAGACCAAGGAGTTGGATAACTGGGTAAAACTCTGTTTTCATTCCAAGTTTTCTGAGGAATCTCCATACTGTCTTCCAGAATGGTTGCACCAATTTGCAGTCCCACCAGCAATGTATGAGTGTATCTTTTTTCCCTCATCCTTGCCAACATTATTATTTGTATTCTTGATAATTGCCAGTCAAACTGGAATAAAATAGAATCTCAGTGTAGTTTCAATTTGCACTTCTCTAGCAGCTAGAGATGTTGAACTAACTGTCTTATATATTAAAAAGATAGTGCACCATGATCAAGTGGGGTTTGCTCCAGGGATGCAAGTTTGGTTCAACATAGATGGAAATCAATAAATGTAACTCATAACTTCAATGGACTTAAAAACAAGAATCCTATGATTATGTCAAGAGATGCATAAAAAACATTTGACAAAATACAGCATTTATTCATGCTCCAAACACTAGAACAACTAGGGATAGTATGGACATACATCAACATTGTAAAAGCTATATATGCTAAGCCCGAGGCCAACATCATTCTAAATGGTGAAAAATTGGGAGAAGTCCCACTGAGAGCTGGAGAAGGCAGGGATGCCCTCTTTCACCACTTCTATTCAACATAGTCCTTGAAACTCTAGCCAGAGTAATTAGACAGAAGAAAGAAATTAAAGGGATACAAATAGGAAAAGAAGAAGTCAAGAATTCCTATTTGCCAGTGACATGATTCTATATACAGAAGACCCAAAAAACTCCACCAGAAAACTCTGGAGCTCATAAATGAATTCAGAAAAGTAGCAGGATATAAAATGAACACACATCAATCAATTGTGATCCTATACATAAATGAAGAATCAACTGAAAGAATAATTAGGGAAACTACCCCATTCACAATAGACTCAAAAAAATATATATTTGGGAATCAGTGTAACAAAAGAGGTGAAAGAACTGTACAATGAAAACTATAGAACACTAAGGAAAGAAATTGAAGGAAATCTTGGAAGATGGAAGGATCTCCCATGTTCTTGGATAGGCAGAATTAACATTGTCAAAAGGCCATACTTCCAAGAGTGCTATACAGATTTAATGCAATTCCTATTAAAGTCCCAAAGACATTCTTCATAGAAATAGAAAAAGCAGTCATGAAATTCATTTGGAAAAATAAAAGACCCATCCCCTTTTTATTTCTTATTTTGAGACAAGTTCTTCCTAAGTTACCCAAGACAGCCTTGATCTTGCAATCATTCTGCCACAGCCTCCCAACTCACTAGGATTGCAGGCATGAGCCAACCACTACACTGAGCTAAATATGTTTTTATGTGCATATATGTACTTACATAGATACATAGATGGATAGAAATAACTCTCTACATATCTGTATCTATTTCTGTATTCAGGATTGGAAAACCTAGAAGAAAACATGACAAGAAATACAGGTGGTTCCTTTTCATGGAATTGCAAACAATTGTCATTGTCATCTTCGTGTTTATTTCCTCTATTTTCTAAGTTTCTAAAACAAGAATGTACTTGTGTTACAATTAAATAGAAAAAAAATAATATTCTAAATAAGGGTTTTAATCAGCTTTCCATCACTGTGAAAAACATACCTGAGGACAGATTTACTTTGGCTCATGATTTTAGAGGTTTCGATCCATGGTAACTTGGCCCCATCACTTGGGGGCTGTGGTGAGGGAGAGCTTCGTGGTGGGGATTGCATGGCAGAGGATGATGCTCACCTCATGGCAGCATGAAGGAGGAGGGAGAGAAAGGGGACAAGGTCACAACATCCCCTTTTAGGGCAGGCCGAGGGACTCAACTTCCTCCCACTAGGTCCTGCCTCCTGAAGTTTCACCTCCTCCCTATAGCATCATCAGCTGGGACAAGGCCTTTCTCACATGAACTTGTGGGGGACATTTAAGATCCAAACCATAACAAGTTAAAGGGGAAATAAATTATGACAATTTTATATGAAATGTATTAAGCATTAATATGACATTTTCTAAACAATATAATTAAATGATTAAATGTATATGACATAACTATGATTAAAAAAGGATCAAAAAAGTTCATAATAAATGTAAAATACACACACACACACACACACACACATATATACACACACCCATATATATATATATATCTGAAACAGGAATTGAGTAGGAGTCTTCCTGTTGTATTTGATTTTGGCTGAAGCCCCCAAAATTATGAACAATGGATTATAAATAACTGTGCATTTCAAAACGTGATATTAGACCTACCTATGTGAAGAAAACAGAACTGGTCCAATAACGATCCACATCCCCACCACCCACCTCTGACCTACTCCAGAGAAGTCTAAAGTTTGAAAGTTGATTACAGAATACATTTAAGAGAAAAGAATAGTTAACCTTGAAAAGAGTCCAAACCATTTTCCCTCCCCTTCCACCTTTCCCCCAAATATTCCAAAAAGAAACATCCACAGAGGCACAAAAGACAGAGATACCAATATCACTCATGAGCCCAGCCCTGTGGAAGGGTAGGTCTGGAGCGGCCATGGAACTGAAACACACTGAACACTCTAAACAGAGCTTGATTGTGTCTCTCTTGGAACTCGGGGAGACTAGAGCCTGCTTCTCAATCAGAAACTAAAGCAGACAACAGGCTATAGGTTCATTGAATTAGCAAGGTTATCTCCAAAAGATGGAATGAAAATTTTTTTTTCATCTATCCTGAACATCTTTATTGCTTTCTGTATTTTGTAATAGTAACATTATATATTATTTTATACATAGTATAAAAAGTTAGCTAAAAATGTTCTGATGAGGAGGATTATACTGCTATACTAAATTCCACTACACTGAAAATTTCATAATGATAGGGACTATTATTATTTTATCCACCACTATGTTCCCCAAAGAGTATCTAGTGTAGATCAGGCACTCAATAAATGCATCCTGAACTCTTTAGTGGGTTAACAAAATAAGAACATTCACAATAAAGTGCAATGCAGCAAACAATCAAGAGCATGAAGGAGATCCTACAGATAGGAGAAAATATTTGCCACCTGAACGTCAGATAGAGCATTAATCTCCAAGATACTTAAAAAAATCAAAACACTTAACATGCACACACACAAAGAAATAACACAATAAATAAGCAAAGGAACTGAACAGACACTTCTCAAAAGAAAAAAATATGAATGGTCAACAAATATATGAAAAAATGTTTAACCTCTCTAGCAATTAGGGAAATGCAAATCAAAACTATACTGAGATTCCATCTCACTCCAGTCAGAATGGCAATTATCAAGAATACAAGCAACAATAAATGTTGGCAAGGATATGGGTGAAATGCACATTGATACATTGTCAGTGGAACTGCAAATTGTCACAACTACTCTGGAAAGCAGTATGGAGGTTCCTCAGAAAACTCGGAATGGAACCACCATATGACCCAGTTATTCCACTCCTCAGTATATATATTCAAAGTACTTAAAATCAGCATACTACATACTACAGTGTAAATTGTTTATAACAGCTCAATTCACAATAGCTAAGCTATAGAATCAGCCTAGGTGCCCTTGAACATATGACTAGATAAAGAAAATCTGGTATATATTCACAATGGAATATCACTCAGCCACAAAAAAAGAATGACTTTATGACTTTTGCCAGTAAATGGATGGAAATGGAGACTATTGGCTTATTGCTAAGTGAAATAAGCCAATCCCAAAAACCAAAGGCTGATATTCAGATACTAACACACAACAAGGGAGTGGAAAAGAAAAGTAGAAGTTCTCTGGATTAGACAAAGGGGAATGAAGCATAGGGAGGGGGAATTGGAATAGGAAAGACAGCAGAAAGAATCAGAAATAACTTCCCTACGTTCATACATGAACACACCACCAGTGAGACTTCACATCATGTACATCCACAAGAATGGGATACTAATTAGAATAAGTCATACTCCATGTACATATGATCCATCAAAGTTCATTCCACTCTCATGTATATCTCAAAAGAATGAATTTTAAAAATGTAATGTGCAACAGGGTTTTCTTCCATACTACTCAATAACCACCTGTCTGTGCCCATTAATGAGAAGCAAGGACTGTCAAAAAGAGACATCAAACACCATCAGAACCCAAAAGTACATTTGATGTAGGCCAGGGAAGTTTTCAATGCTTCCTGACAATCCTGACTACCTATGGAAGCACTGATGATTATTGAAATAGCCATATTCCTCCACAGGAAGAACTCTTCTTGCAGAGCATTAAATCTGTGTCACAAATATTTGCATCTCAATTTATTTAATTCTCTGGTTTCGTCCTGATGTTGGCTTTTAAAATTGTACTTTGCCCAGTTCCAGTGAAGTAGCTCTCTTAATCACGTTTAATCCCCACATACACTGACGCTGCTCTTGCACTGATCAAATGATTGCTTCACTACCCTCCCTTGTCGTTCACCCACTCAGAGTGCTTCCATGCACAAGGGGATTCCAGTAGGATTCCCTTGACCGTCTCAGCACTGCTCCTGAAAGGTGCCCTGCTTATGGTAATGGCAGGACCCAGTGTCCTGGAATAGACCTCCTTGGAGGGCCCAGAGGCTGCCTTAGGAAGTTCTGACAATAAAAAAACCAGAGTTAGGTGTTTGGCCTGCCTTGACCTTGGTTTCCTCGTGCCTTTATTCCTTTCACACTGTCAGATTCGAGGGCTTTGGGGGGTCCTCATGGACCAGCTTCCCCAGGGACGACTCCACCCACCTCCCTGCCTCTATTGGTGCTAAAGATGGGGCTCAGTCTATGCTGGCGGCGTGGAGTAGGCTCATGACAGGGGCCTGATGTAGTCAGTAGACTACACACGCTCTATTCCCCTGAAACCCCACGTTGAACAAAATCAC